ATATTTAATATACTATATTGTGCATAGAGGAACATTAAATTAAGAAACAATAATGAGAGAAATCAGAAAATAAGCGTTAGGGTGGTGTATCTATTAGACACCCTAACCCGTAAACTAGGGTTTAGGTTTATATATTGTATGCTAGGGTTTAGGTTTATATTTACTAGGATTTAGGGTTTAGAGGGGAAAATCAAACGACGTAAAAGAAAATCTTTAAACGCAGAAATACAGAAACAGAAACAAAAAAGGAGAGATAAACAAGCAAGCAAAGATAAACATTAAAATCAATACCAACCAACGCTACAAGTGTAGAGGGCAGAGAGGGCAAAATAGGCAGACGAAAATGCAGGAAAAGCAAACAGCAAACACAAACTGCATGCAAACAGAAAGAAGGAAACAAACAAAGCGAAGCGAGAAAAGAATAAACATAAAAGAGAGAATGAGAGACAAAGAGATAAATACAAAGACCCAGAGGCAGAAATAGTAAAAGAAAAAATCCTTGTGTTGTTCATCTACAATGTCTGCTCAGACGGTATAAAAAGAAATCGAAAAGAAACAAAAAAAGGGAAGAAAACAAATATTTATACGGTGTAAGCATAGTGCATGCATGCGCAACACTATTCACAACAAATACATCAATAAGCTGCATGCATGCATACACCGTATTGGATTATATGCGTGGAAAGAATACAACCACAAAAAAAACAACAGGCAAAAGAAGGAGAGAATGTAAATAAAAGCAAACAGTTTGATAAGCATGCAGACACCGAAAGAGAGATGGCTTTCCCTCTGTCGTTTTTTTGCTTCTAAATTCACAATTCATTCCCTATAGCAAATCCGGAAACTGCAGATACAACAGAATATATTTGTTTAATGGGGATTCAGAGACAGAGACACCGCAAGAAACAGAAATAAAATTCACATACCAAACACGGTACAGAGATGAACGCATGCAATATCACCGGCAGCGGCAGAGAAAACAGCAAAATGGGGGAAGCAACGCCCCTCTGTCCATAAATAATTTAAAAATAACTCAGCAAATATCAACGGAGGTGTTGGAAGAAACTCCTTTTAAAGTCTCAGTCTACGAAACTAAGGAAAACGTGTTGCCGAGCATTCCCAAAGGTGGCGGGGAAGAAGAGAAACAGGAGGAAGAGAGGGTCTACCTATTGGAAATGAAGCAATTAATTAATTAAATTATTTAGCTAATTAAAGAGAAATAGCAATATTTAGCTGTTTTTTTCTGAGAAGCAAAGACCTACTCACGACAGCCCCGCATGCATTCAGCGGCTGCTGTTATAATACAGGGGATGCTGCCGGTTTTCATGAGTTGTTCTGCATTATTAAGGAGGAAAACCCACAAATTTTCCTAAAAACCCTTTTATTTTTTCTGCTTTCTATAGACAGCTGCAAGCATTTCTTCCTACGTTCGCCAGTACTTCTCAGCAGCTGCACAGCTCAAGCCTTGCACGAGTTGAGCTGCCTATACACCTTAAGGCTCTGAATTTGAAAATTGCTTTGGTTTGGATCTCATGAAACCAATTCATTTCCTTTATTTCTGCCCGCCTTTGTGGCTCCTCCCTCGTTGCAGAGTTTGACTCCTAGGGGTCTGTCTGCCTGTCTTCTCTGTTTCTGTTATGCGAGGTTTCCCTGAACGCCGGCTCAGAGCAGGAGCCGTCAGTGACGAGTAAATACGTTTCGTTTGTTTGGGATACCGATCATTGGGTGTTTTATGCAGCTTTGTTTCGTGTTGCTCTCGGCAGCAGGAAGAAGGAGAAGAAACAAAGAAGGAAATCGTTCATTCAACTTCCGTGGTATGCGGGGATTCCTAAGCGCTTCCCCCGCCTCGCGGCGCCTTTTTCGGGCCGTAAGGAACTAATTCAAATTATTATTGATATTTATTCTGCACGGTTTCGCCGTTATTTTAAAATGGCGAGCGAAAGCCGGCTGCTTTCCCGCCTCCGCCGGGCGGCCCGCGGGGTGTACGTGTTGTCACTCTTTGCGAGTTTTGCCGCCTTTATGAACATAAACTCGAGCGGAATCGGTGGATTACTTGGAGAAAATAGTATTCCTTTTTCAATTGGAGCCGAAGGATCTTTAAACGTTCATTCTTGCGTCGCCGATTTCCTCGTTTCTTCTCTCCGAGACCTGACGTATGTGACGTTTGATCAAGTCCTCCCCGAAAAGGCAGGTTTTTAATTTCCCGAAATTCTTAGATTTTTTTATTTATTTGTTTTTTGCAAGTTTGTTCATGAAATTATCCGTTTAGCTTCCGCAGTCCATCGGATCGCACGCGTAGCAGGCAGGTGATGCTTTTTCATTTTATTTTGTTTCTTTTCTTCTTTTATTTGTCTGGTTTTTGCGGAATTGTTTATGAAATACTTTTTTTAACTTCTGTATTCTATTGGATCTCGTGTCTTGCTTATTCAGGTTGTGTTCCCTGTCTGTGACTCGACATCCGGACCTCTTTGCCCTCACTTGAAGTTTCCTCTCCTTCTTCCTGAAGCAGAGTCGGAGCGCATGCGGCGCCCCTACGGCATCAGCAAGCAGGTTGGTGCATATTCAGCTCATCTACACCGCCCTCTGCTAGTAGATGCTGGGGGAGAAGCGCCCAGCAGCAGCAGCAGCAGCAGCAGAGGCGTTCCCGCCCTTGTTCAACTGGACACCTCTCGTACGTTTCTACATTCTGAGCCAGTTTCTGCATCTCGTATTCAGCGGCACAGCGTGGAGGAGCCTTATGCAATAAGAGGGCAGTACCTTGAAGACGGCATCGGAGATGTTTCTTCTCCTACTTTTTCTGATGCAATTTCTTCTGCTATTGGGCATTTAGGGGCAATTGTGAGCAGCATGCGGGAGATATGGGGCCCTAAAAGCACTACAGAATCAGAAAGTTTTGTATGTTTTCATGCGGGAGACCGTGAAGACCGCAGTGATTGCCACGACTTGTCTTCTTTTTCTTCTTTGCCGCCGCACTACGAAGCGGAGGTAGAGGCATTTCACAGCGGATGGAGCGGTTCTTCTCGTTTGCTGCAGTTTGATCGCTCTAAATCTCCTTTTATTTCTCCTTTTCTAGAAGATGATTATGCAGTGGGGCTTCCTGAAGCAGAGACGCGCTGGAAAGGCCGTTGGCGCGTCAAACCCACTCGGGGAGTCTCGGGCCCTGAGGTGCTGAAGCAGCAGCAGCAGCAGCAGCAGCGTCAGAAGCAGCGGGAAGCGACGCATGCATTGCCATTAACAGGGGTTATAAAGGAGGGTTTTACTGCGAAACCGTCGAGCTATGCGTCTGTGTTGAATCTAAGGGGGCCCCCTGTGCCTATCTCTACTTATGCAGAGTTAGACAGCCACCAGGGGTCTTTCTTACATTCAAATTTGTTTGTACCGTATGGAATCTGGGTGTCTGCTACACCCCGAGAACCGAATCCAAGCTGCAGCAAGGAAGCAAGAGAGCAGTCTCGAAATTTGGTGTTGGTTATTCAGGGGCTTCAAGACGAAGAGTTAGTGTTTACTGCAGAAGTACCTTTGCGAGAGGTATTGGGGCTGCATGCGGCTAGCGAAGAGGGAGAAGAAGTAGCTCCTGAATTTCGTTTTGTTAATGCTCTTGATTATATGAAGACGTCACCCTTACAAAGAATTGATGTTTTGCGGTTTTTGTATGGATATACAGACAAAACAACAAAGGGGGCAGACAGAATAACATTTAGAAGGCCTCTAGATTGCTCGGGCCTTCGCGGTGTGCTAGGAGCTCTTCATTTGTTAATAGCAGAGAAGACCCTTAGCAACCGCATTTATTATGCAGTAGATATAACAACACCAGAAGGAAAGGTGCTACAGGAAAAGGCGCATGCAATAAAAATGCAGCAGCAGCAGCAGCAAACGAGGAAGCAAACGCTAACAGATGCTAAGGCCCCATTAATAAAACAACTTCTAGGAGGAGCTACTCCTAGGCCTTGGAAACCGCATAAATTAGAAATAGGCTCGGCATTAAGAGCAGATATATTCAGTGGAGAAGAGACAGACGCACAGAAAGAAGGAGGTGTATTTCTAGGGGTAGTGCTGCGATCGCAGCAAGACAGAGTGCTGCAGCTGCTGGAGCCGAACAGTATTTCTTCTTCTTCTCTACCTGTTTCTTGGCAAGAGAATAATCGAATTAAGTTTGGTAGATTTGATGCAATGCCCTACCAATTTGCTGATCTTAGAAAGCCTTTAAAGAAGGGCTTCCTTTTCTTGCAAGATATACCCGCTGAAGCCCCTGTTCTGTCTCTTAATCAAATATCTCAACTTAAACATGTTTTCTTTCGCAAGGTAAATACCCATTTTGCTGCTGCTGCTGCTGCTGTAGCTCCTTTGTGCTACTGCTGCTGCTGTGTGTGTTGCTGCTGCTGCTGCTATGTGTTGCTGCTGCTGTTGTCGCTGGTGCTGCTGTTGAAACGGCTGCTGCCGCATTTTGTTTTTGCTGCCGCTGCTGCCTCTCCGCGTGTTGCAGTCGCTGCTGCTGCTGCTGTTCTGTTGCTACATTTGCTATTGCTGCGGGGGCGGGCATGCACCTGTCGGGTTCTTAGGGTTTAGGGTTTAGGGTTTAGGGTTTAGGGTTTAGGGTTTTTGGGTTTGGGGTGTGCATCGCAGCCCGTCGCAGAGACGCACGGCCGCTTTAAAAATGTAGACTTAGAGTCTGCGGGTGAGAGACATTTCATTTGTACTGCTGCTGCTGTTGCTGCTGCACTTGCCGCTGCCTGTCTGCTGCATTTGCTGCTTCAGCTGCTGTCGCTGCTGCTGCACTTGCTGCTGCTGCACTTGCTGCTACTAGGGGTTGTAAAGAGACTGAAGAGACGGAACTATGAACAGACAGAAATATATATGTATATAATAAGGCATGCATGCACAGAGACAGCGAGAGACAGAGAGATGGAGAGAGACAGAGGCTGAGTGCAAGACACAGTATTGCAGCTGCCTTTTGCTGCTGTCTGCTGCAGGAATTGGAGACTTACGTTCCCTCATGAAGTCAATATTAAGCAGCATAGAGACAAAGAAAAACCCTGGAGCAGCTGCTGCTTCGCTGCTAGACAAGCTCAGCAAAGACAAAGCAAAAGAGATAACAGCGCATGCGCATCCAGCCCCAGACCCATCTGAAGCTGCAGCAGCCGATGATTCTACAGAAGCAACACAGACAGAAGCCGCAGAAGAAGGCGATCCCATGCAGGTAGGAATAGCTAGCTGCTCCTAGCTAGCTAGCTAGCTAGCTGTATATATATTTATATATAATATGCGTATATAGATGTAGATATATATATGTATATATAAATGTGTCGAAAATAGATCGATAGATAGGTAAGTAGATAGATAGACAAATAGCTAGCTAGCTAGCTCGAGAGAGAGACAGATAATAAATAAATAGCGCCCCCAACCCCCGCTAGCTGCTGTAGCCACGAGGGGGCTCAAGTTGGGGTGCAGGATGGGTGGGTGCGGTGTACAGACACCGCAGAAGGTGCGAGTTCAGGGCTGGGTGCGGAGTTCGGCAGCTAGCTACCAGATAGCTACCAGCTAGCTACCAGCTAGCTACCAGATAGCTACCAGCTAGCTACCAGTTAGCTAGTAGCAAATAGCTACCAGCTAGTTGCCAGCTAGCCAGTAACAACTAGCAGCTAGATAGCAGCTAGCTAGTAGCTAGCTGTTGAAGGGGGTTAGCGGCAGCGCTAGCTTGCGCGTGTTGTTTGTTCTTCTGTGGGTTTGCAGGTGATCCACTCAAACATTGCGAAATCCCTCACAACTCTGGCGGAAACCTTGGCGAAAGTGAGTTAACCGGATAGCTAGCTAGCTAGCTAGCTAGCTAGCAAGCTGGCTGGCTGGCTAGTTAGCTAGCTAGGTAGCTGTCGATCTAGTCGTGCCCAGCCGCTGTTGTCTACTTATCCCTACGTGCTAGCTAGCTAGAGTCTCCGTCTCTTATTTTTGCTGCAGAAGCAAATATGAAGGGTTTGTCTGCTGTTTGTATATTTTATTTGTTATTATTTTTAATGAGAAGACGCAGCAGCTGCTTATGGTACTGCATGCATGCATATGCAGCCAGCAGCACCTCGTTTTTGTTTTTTGTTGCTGTCTTTCAGTCTTCTCCGAGTTTTAAGGATCTGCTGCAGAAGGTTTCAACTCCAATCGAAGGTGCTGTACAGACACTTGAAAAAAGTGCAGAGTTCTGCTGCAGCTGCTGCTCCACTTGCTGATTCACTAACTGCTGCTGTTGCTGCTGCTGCTGCTGCTGCTTCGTCTGCTGTTACTGCTACTGCTGCTTCTCTTGTTCCTGCTGCTGCTGCTTCTGCTGCTTCACTCGATGCTGCTGCTGCTGCCGGTGCTGTACTTGCTGCTGCTGCTGCTGCTTGCTTCACTTGCTGCTGCAGCTGCTGCTGATGCTGCTGCTTCAGGTGGCGTTGAAGATTCCAGTATTCAATCTGAGGGTAGCAATGGGAGTTCAGTGTCTGTAAACACCACCGAAGAAGACAAAAAGAGCAGCAGCAGCAGCAGCAGCAGCAGCGATGCAGCGCAGCAGCGAAAGGAGAGCGCGGGGCCCTCAAACAAAACCAAGAGCAGCAAAACCTCAAAGACATCCAAAGACGCTCCGCAAGGTGAGGCATTTAAATCTCTTCGAAGCAAAACAACACCCCTCGGTCACCACCACCAGCAGCTGCTGCAGCAACAGCAGCAACAGCAGCAGCTGCAGAAGCAGCCCAGCTTGTTGCTGCCCAGCGGGTTGGATGCAGCTGCCACGAGATGCAGCTCTGCTTATTTGCAAATATACGGTTGTTGCTGCTGTTGCTGCTTCTGCTGCTGCTGCTGCTGCTGGCTTCAGCGGCTGTGCAGGCAGTCCTCATAATGGGGCCTGATGGGCAGGTGATTAATTTCGATGGGCCTGCGGTGTCTGCAGCAGAAGGTGAGCAGAACTGCTGCTGCTGCTGCTGCTGCTGCTGCAGTTACAGGTGTTGCTGTTGCTGCAGCTGCAGCAGCTTGTTTCTTTGCTGCTGTTTCCGCTATCACTGCGCTTTTGTTTTTCTTTGACCTTTATTGTCTCTTCTAAGCCCTTGGGATTGTTTGCTGCTTCTGCTGCTGCTGCTGCTGCTGCCGGAGCTGCTGCTGTTGCTGCTGGTGGTTGTGTGCGTCTCCCGTGGAGGCTTTTGATTTGTGTTTGTTATGTTTGTTTTATTGATGTTTATTATTTTTGTTTTATATTTTTGTTTTACTCTCTTTTACCTTGTTGTTTATTTTATCTTCATTTATTGTTTATGTGTCTCAGGTTTGTTTTATTTATTCTGCTGTATTTTTCTCCTTTGTCTTGTTAATTTTATTTATTTAATTTATTTGTTTTTGTTTTATTTGCGTTTATTTTATATTTTTTGTTTTATTTAATTTAATTTGGTCAATTTACTTTGTTTATTGAATATCTTTGTTTTATTTATTTCTTATTTATTCCTGAATATTATTTATTTATTTGATTTTTATTATTTTATTCTTTGAACATTATCTATTCTATCTATTTAATATTTTTGTTTTGTTTAATTTTTATTTTATTTTTTCTTCATTTTATTTTTTATTCTGTTTAGTTTTTATTTTTTATTTTATTTAACAATTATTTTATATTATTTTAATTTAATATAATTTTTGTTTAACTTTTTTTTTTTTTATTTTTCAGCGTTCTCGAATTTGCCTGAGACATTTTTATCGTTGGCTCGTCAAATGGGCGCAGCAATTGGAGCGGAGGGAGGAGAGGAGATGCTGAAGGCAGTTGCTTCTGCGGCTGCTGCTGCAGCTGCTGCTCCTGCTGCCGAGGCTGCTGCTGCTGCTCCAGCTGCTGCTGTTGCTGCTGAACAAAACAAAAGCAAAGAAGACAAAAACAAAAAACAAGCGGGGGGGGAGCAGCAGCAAATGGTAGGCGACTCCTCGGATGAAGGCCCGGAGGCAGCGAGCCCAAGCAGCAGCAGCAGCAAAGTCAGCAGCAGCAGCAAGACCGGCAGCGGCAGCAAGACTAGCAACAGCAGCAAGACCAGCAGCAGCAGCAAGAGCAGCAACAACAGCAACAGTAGCAGCAGCAAGACTAGCAACAGCAGCAAGACCAGTAGCAGCAGCAGCAGCAAAACCAGCAGCAACAAGGGCAGCAGCAGCAAGAGCAGCAACACCAGCAGCAACAGCAACAGCGACAAGGAGAAGCCTTCTATGCCTGAGGTGCCTGAGGGCTTATTTGGAGAAGCGCTGAAGGTAATGCTGCATGCAGACAACTCAGTAATCTCTGCTTTAATCCGTACAGCCGAAACGCATGCACAACGTATATTAGCAGCAAACGGTGCAGCAAACTTGGAGATGCCTCCAGCGTCTTTCTTAACAAATGTTTTAAAGGGGCTGCAGCAGCAGGCTTCGAAGCATGCGCAAGACAAACAGGACGACGATGAACTCTAATAACATCATCATCATCATCATCTGCTGCTGCTGCTGCTGCTGCTGCAGCAGCAGCTTGCTGCTGCTTGCTGCTGCTCTCTCTCGCTGCTCAAAGCAGACAGACGAGACACTAAAGAGAAATTAATTCAAATTCAAGAAGATATATATATTAAAAAGTGTTGTTGCTGTAGCGGTGCAACCGCACAGCACAGCTGCAGCGGCTGTAGACGCGCTGCTGCTGCTGCTGCTGTTGCTGCTGCTGCTGCAGCTTGTGCGCATGCAGCAGCAGAAGCAGCAGCAGCAAACGGGGCCAGCTATGTGTTTGCTGCGCCTTCTATCCAGACGCTTTTAGGAGGTATTTTTTGCTGTCGCATTCTATGCAGAACATTTGTTTGTCTACCGAACAAACAAACATTATTTCATGTAGCATAAACAATATATATATTCATATTATATATATATATATATATATGGCAGCTAATATATATATGTATACATATATTGCATGTAAACATATGCATATAAATGCATATGTATATACCAACTAAATAAAATATAGATAATATTATATATGCTATATAACATATATATATATACATATATATATATATATATATATGCAGGGGCCTGGAGTTCCTCTGTTCAGTCTCGAGTGTAACTTTGCACAGAGTGAAGTGTAGCAACACTACCGCGAGCAGCTTCTCTTCGGCAGCGCACAAGACAAACAGCAACAACAGCAGCAGCAGCAACAGCCAGCAGAAGTAGTAGCTAGCCCTGACATTTGTAGAGTTGTTTCGTTTGTTTGCTGCTGTGCTGTTGCACTCTGAAGGTGTGTTATAAGAGTGTGTCTGTTGCTTGTTTGTAGCAGCAGCATCTCTTATGCAAGTCTTTAGGTGTATGTACAACTCAAATTCAAACAGAATTAACAACAAACAGAAGTTCTGTCTTGCGGACAAAGCCAAAGACGGCGGAAAAAAGAATAAAGAGGAAAACGGATAGATAATATCAATTCAAAGAAATGAGCGCATGCATGCAAGCATGCATGCAAGCAAAGCCCCAAACTTGTTGCATGCAATGCATACAAAACCCCAAACTCGTTTCATGCATGCGCTTCAATCGATACCCACACTAAGTGCTGTGGGGCTGTTCAAATGCTTTTAAATAATAAAGACAGCAGCAAACGGCAGACACTCGACTCTGCAAACAAGACAGACGTAACTACGGCCTGCTTTTGCTACTGCTGAACTTGCTGCTGCTGAATTTGCTGCTGCTGCTTTTGCTGCTGCTGCTTTTGCTGCTGCTGCTTTTGCTGCTGCTGTATTCGCTGTAGCGGGGGGCCTACAAAGACGGAGGTTCTTGTATCTTCTCGTTTGCGGTTGTTGCTGCTGCAGCTGGAGCAGCAGCAGCTGCTGAAGTATCAGCTGCCACCGCTACAGCATGCGTTGCTGCTGCTGCTGCTGCTGCTGCGGATTCTGTTTTCGGTGCTGCGGCGAGTTTAGCAGGTTCTTCTGCCTGCTGCTGTCGCTGCTGTTGCTGCGGCTGTTGCTGCAGCTGAATGTTCTCTTCCTTGCTGCGGTCTTCTTCTTGTTCACGAGACAGCAGCGTAGGCATTGGATGAGTTAAAGAAGGAGGAGGAGCAGCAGAATTGAGAAGATGTCTAAGACGTTTGTAGTGCGGTTCGGGGGAGGCAGAAAAAGCAGAGTTTCCTGCTGTTGCTGCTGTTGCTGCTGTTGCTGCTGCTGCTGCTGCGGCTGCAGCGGCTGCACTCGCTGCTGCTGCAGGGCCCGCCGCAGATACAGCCTGCTGTCTGCTCCTCTTCGCTGTCTGACCGCAAGAAGCCTTGGTGGTGCTGCTGCTGCTGCTAGCAGCAGCAGCAGCAGCACTCCTTTCGCTGTCTTGTGATAAAGAGAGGAACCCCCCTGCTTCAATCCAAAGAGATGCATCTAGCGGCTGCGCAGGCGTGCAGCAGTTTTCATCTGTCTCCTGGCAGCTAGCAGCAGCAGCAGCAACTGCTGCCTTAACAGAACTGACGAGAGGAGCATCTGCTGCAGCAAGAGAGGGAGGCCCAGCAGCAGCAGCCTCGCCTGCTTCTTCTATACAAGATTGAATAGAGCGTGATAACACACATTCAAGGGCCTCGTGGATAGGAGGGCAGGCCCTGCTGTTGCTGCTGTTGCAGCTGCTGCTGTTGCTGCTGTTGCTGCTGTGTTGAGCGCCACCTAAACATGTTGCTTCTTTCCCTAGCCCGCAGTCACTGGCTGCCCCCAGACCCGCCCCAGGACTCCTGAGGCCTGCTGCTGCTGCTGCTGCTGCTGCTGCTGCTTTTGCCTTTGATTGCCTCGCTTCATGCAGAGGGAGTGCGCAGGCTGCTGCGGGCGCTGCTGCAGCGGCTGCAGCAGCAGCAGCTGCAGCAGCAGCAGATCTCTCACCGTCTCTTTCTGCTAATAGGTTTTCCTTAAACCGCAATGCATTTAGCTGTGCCTCCTCTACACTTCCGTAGTTTTTTATATAAAACGATTTGCTGTGCTTAGACCCATCGCTTGTCTTCCACTGGGCCATGAAGCGGTTCTGGCTGCGATCGAATGTTATGCTGCCAGATACAACTCGCAGCCTTTGCTGCTGCTGCTGCTGCTGCTGCTGTTGTTGTTGTTGTTGCAGAGAAGAAAACTGAGATGGTGGGGAAGCAGAAGGAGATAAAGGAGGTAAGAAACCAGACCCTCCGCCGGTGATGCTGCTCGTGGTGCTGCTGCTGTTGCTGCTGCTGTTGCTGTTGTTGCTGCTGCTGTTGTTGCACTTCTGCCCCAGACGCCGCAGCTCCTCCGCCGTTGCTGCAGCAGCAGCTGCTGCTGCTGCTGCTGCCAGCTTGCGGCCATCCCCAGGTGTACCGGGGGCCCCCTTTGTCTTCGTGCTTAGGGCGCGCTGTCTCCCTGGCTGCCCTCGTGCATTTCCTGTTAAGCTCCACTCATTGCTAGAAGCTGCTGCTGCTGTCTTTTTATTCTTGAGCTTACGTGGCAGAGTGGGATGTGAAGCTGCTGCTGCTGCTGCTGCTGCTGCTACGCTGCTGCTGCTGCTGCTCCCTTTGGCGTCTTGTAGTAGGGTTAAAGCCTTGAGGGCCCCCTCTCCTAGGAATCCATGAGGAAGTGAAGAGGTTTTTTGACTAAGACCGGAGATGTTTAGCAAACCAGAATTTGCTGCTCCCTGCAGCGGCAGCAGCGGCTGCTGCAGCGCAGCAGCAAGTGTCCCCTTTGAGCTTGGTGTGCCTTCGAGGCTGGCGAGGAAGCTGCATATTTCTGCTGCTGCTGCTGCTGCTGCTGTTGCTTGCGCGGCGTTGGCTGCATTCGGCGTCGCAGGCGGCAGTGCAGCAACAAGAGGTGCAGCAGCAGCAGCGGCTGCTGCTGCTGCTGCTGCACTTGCTGTTGCTGCAGAGTCTCCTTGAGGCCCTTCTGTCTTGTGCTGCATCCGCTTTGTAAACCGAAGTGCTTGCTGCTGCGCCTCCTCGCGGCCTCCGTACTTGCTGCTGCTGAAGCTTCTACTGCAGCTTCTTCCCTGGGCCTTCCATGTTGCTACCCAGCTATCATTTGCAGCGTCAAAGGAGACAGTTGGCGACCCCGAAGGAGACAGCACATCTGGCAGCGGGCTCCCGCACACTTGGGGTGATGCCGCTGCTGCTGCTGCTGCTGCAGCAGCAGCACCGCCACCCGCACCACCCAAGTCCAACCCAGCACTAACCACATCGTGAGCAGCAGACTCCGAGCCCCACAAGGAGCTGCTGCACCTCCTGGACAGCAGCGGCGCTGCAGCAGCAGCAGCAGCACTTGCTTCAACTTTAGACCCAGCAGCAGAAGGAGACTCTAGAAGAGCAGCAAGAGGGAAAGAAGCGCAGCGCTTCGCCATACTGCTGCCGTCTTGGAGCTGTTGATGCAGCTGCTGCTGCAGCTGCTGTTGGAGTCGTTGTTGCAGCTGCTGCTGGAGTTGCTGCTGCAGTTGCTGCTGTTGTTGCAGCTGCTGCTGCAGCTGCTGCTGCTGCTGCAGTTGCTGCTGCTGCTGCAAGGGAGAAGAGCAGACGTCTGCCATCGCCTGCGCCCCCAGTGCCCGCAGCAGCTCCGATGCTGCCTCCACCTGTCCTTTCTTGTTGTCTCTAAGAGTAAAAGAAGAGCAGCTGGAAGCAGAGGAGACCCCAAGAGTTGGTTGCTTCTCGCCGCTGGGTGCAGCAGCAACAGCAGCAGGAGCAGCAGCAGCAAAAGGAGCACTAGGAGGTAGGGGAGAGCCGCAGACAAACTCAGGGCAGCAACGAGACAAACCCCTCATATCTAAACTGTTCAAGCCAGAGGACAGCAGCAATCCTTCTGTCTCCGATGCTGTCTCCAGCGTGCGGATTGTTGGGCTGCACAAGAGAGAAGGCACAGGAGTGGTGGTAGCAGAAGCTGCTGCAGCAGCTGCTGCTGCTGCTGTTGCTGCTGTGGCTGCGGCGCTCTCCGCAACACTCAACCCTCGGGAATCCTCCCCCAATCGCCTGCTACGCAGTCCTCCTGCTGCTGCTGCTGCTGCTGCTGCTGCTGCAGGGCCCTCTGTCGTTGCTGGTGAGCCTGAAGCTGCAGCTGCAGCAGCAACAGCAGCAGCAACAGCAGGATTCTTTTGCGCGTGTATATCTTTGTTGTTTGCTGCTGCTTCATAGAGCAGCTGCAGCGCAGCAACGGCTTCTTCTATGGCTTGTGGGGGGACCTTCTTTAAGAGGTCAATGGGTTTGTCTTCTGGCAGCAGCAAAGCGCCTTCTGCTGCAGCAGCAAGGAGCAGGGAAGGAGATGCATGCACTGCATGCAGCAGCAGCTTCTGCAGGATTACGTGTGTATAGATATATAGCTGCTGGGGCCCCTGGGCCCCTATAATATTTGCTTGATGAAAAGCAAAGAGAGGCGAACGAGACAACAAAGACAAGACGCTGCAACCCGATAGATGGGTCGTTAGTAAGGCCTCCAGCAGCTGGCAGCAGATCTGCTGCTGCGCAGCAAATGTTGTAGGAGGGTACGGAAAGAGACAGCCCTGAGATGAAGGAGACAACGCCACGCAGTCCAACCCAAAGCCCATGCTGCTGCTGCTCTTGCTGCTGCTGCTGCTGCTGCTCTTGCTGCTGCTGCTCTTGCTGCTGCTGCTGCTGCTATGGGCCTCGACGGAAGATCCCTCGGTTGTCGGTAGTGGAGCAGCTGCTGCAGTTGCTGCTGCTGTTGCTGCTACTGCTGCTGCTGCTGCTGGAGCCGCAGGTTCCTTCGGGCAGACAAGATTGAGAGCAGACAGCAGCGTGCTGCACTTAGAGAGGCTGAGGGGCCCCTTGCTGCAGGCAGCTGGCAGCAGATTTTGAAGAGCAGCAATATAACTCTCCACATCGGAAAGATTTGATGCTTTGCTAATGCGTTCAATGTGCTTCGCAATCGATGCAGCAGCAGCAGCAGAAGCACTGCCGCTGTTGCTGCTGCTGCAGGCTGATCCCAGACTCTGAATCAACTCTATCAAAATCGCCTGCGTTGAGGACAGAGTGCTGCTGTCTGCTGCAGCTGCTGACGGCCCAGCAGCAGCCGCAGCAGCAGCAGCAACAGCAGCAGCAGCTTCGGTTTCAGTATGCGCTCCTCCCCCCCCAGGAGGTGCAGAAGAGGGACTAGGGGCAGCTTGCTGGAGCTCTGCTGCTTCTGCTGCTAGAGGAGTTGTTGCTGCAGTCGAGCTAGCTGCTTGTGCTGCTGTGGGGGAATTGAGTGCTGCCAAAGCGAGGGCGCTGTCTCTCTGGGGGGCCCCCTGGGGCCCCTTGCTTGCTGCTGCTGCTGCTGCTGCTGCTGCTGCTAGATGGAGGCCGTCAGAGATGCTTGTAGAAGGCAGATGGGGCGAGGAAGCAGCTGAAGAGATAACGTTTGTCTCCACCTTAACATTTAGAGGCCCTGATGTGTGCACGCAGCAGGAAGAAGGAGACACCTTATGGCTGCCTTTGCATGCGCTGCTGTCTCCTCCTGGCAGCAACTCGCCCCCCGAATAAGCACCCAAGAAGGGGCTTAAAGACAGACTGTCTCCGCAGCTACCCCCTACACCAGCAGCAGCAGCTGCAGCTGTAGCAGCAGCAGTAGGTGCAGCAGCAGCATCGCATGCGTTTGAACTCCCCCCTATACCTTCAGCAGCAGCATAACCAACTACGCCCAAGTCCATCGGAGAAGAGACAGAGACAGAGACAGATTTGTCTCCTCCAGATAAGGGCCCTTCTCCCTTTTGTATAGAAGAATGCCAGAGCCCCTCCAACATATGAGGAGAACACGAGGAACCCTGGCTGCTGCTGCAGATGGTGCTGCTGCTGCTGCTGGGGGTGCTGCTGCAGGTGCTGCTGCTGCTGCTGCTGATGTTGCTGTCTCTGCTGCTGCAGCTGTTGCTGTCTCCGCTGCTACAGCTGTTGGTAGCAGTGCAGCCGCTGCTGCTGCTGTTCCCGATGCTGTTGCTGCTGGTGCTGTTGCTGCTGCTGCTGGTGGCGGTGCAGGTGCTGCTGTTGCTGGCTGAGGGCGCCGGTGCTGGTGCTGCTGCTGCAGCGGGCTGTTCAAGATTGGGTTGGGAAGCCATTGTCCCCCCGTAAGAGTCTGAAGAGTAGAAGCGAGAGGAAGGAGCAGCAGCCGCACCAGCAGCAGCAGCAGTAACAGGAGAGGGGGGGGGCCTCCAAAGGGTTTGTTTTAGCTCGCTGGAATGGTCTTAGCAAGCGTCTCCTGCAAAAAGACGGAACCCCCCTGTCTGCCTGTTGCAGCCGCAGACAGATTATTTTTCCTGTATACGCAGCAGGAGGCAAATAATGCTTATTAAGGTGGATGGTAGAGCAAAGAGAAGGAGACAGACACCGCGTTGCAGGTGAGGAGACAGTCTGAAGAGGAGCTGGAAGCGTTATGAGAGACAGAAATAACAAATTCAAAAGAAGAAAAGACAGAGGGGAGGGAGAAAACCCAAAGAAAGGCAAGAACTCCCCTAGCGGCCTCCGCCGCAGGGAGTAGGCGATCCTGACGAGCGCCGGTGTGGTTGCAGTGTCAGGGCAGGTGAGTGTTGAGTGTTTAAAGGGTGAGAAACAATAAGAAAAATCTTAAAAGGTTTATTTAGACACTTCAAACAAAGCAAAGACCCCTGAAGACGCCGAGATAGACAGAGAAGAGCGCCAGCAGCACCGCCATTGATTCACAGACACCTCTGCTGGGTCTCTCTAGACAGATGATGCTCCCCTCTTCTACCTTCTTATCGAAGAAGAAGACAAAAATTAATCAAGCTAAACCAACTAGACGGCAAAAACACAAAGAAACAATCGCGGAAGAGGCGAGGAAGCGCCAGCTGTCATCACAGGCAACAAACAAACCACAAGAGGGAAGGTAAAGGTTAGGTGGCGGGGGAGAAGAAGAGAAGCAAAACCTACAGAACCAGAGGCCCCCTACAGCCTTTACAAATCTTTATGTCTCACTGTCAATTCAAGCAATAAATAAAAGAGAAAGAAGAACTCAGAAAAATCAAGAAGGAAACCTCAACAGAGACTGGCAGCCGCTTTATCTCTGCATTGCTTGGAGGGTATGTACACGCGTGTCTGGCAGCCGCTGCAGCGCTATGTGTGCGTCTATTTGAAGCCTTTCCTCATCCCTTCCTGATTTTTTACCTTTAAAAAGAACATTATTTTACTTTTAAACACCTCCATTTGCAATTAATACGAGAAAAACAATCAAAACCTGCTGCCGACGCAGCCTCACCGTACGCCAACCCCACCGGGAACACCCCCCCTCCCAGCATCGCGTTCGGCACCGCTTAAAAAGAGGGTAAGAGTCTTAATACATTATTTCTAGCAAGTTCTGTAGAAATTCAAACTCCCTCTGCAAAGGAAGAAGTTCTAACGAGGCTTTCGTCTCACTCACACCTACCATGAAATGCCTCAGAGTGGGAACAGCTTAAGCCACGCTGTTATTTATACTGTTACGTTTTGTCGCATTCATACGCGGTACCCAAAGGACTCAGTGCAGGAGCAGCAATGCTTTCTAACTAGAAAAAACCATATCGGTCGATAATTAAGCAGCTGATGGGTTGGTTGTGTCCCTTTTAATGCCTCATTTTCGTTAAAACAACACACATTGTGCGTTGTTCCGGGTCCGTCAGAGGTCACAGGATTTATCAATATTTGTGTGCATACTGGCGAATGACAGCTAAGTAATCTATCAGCGGTTCTCTACCGCGCTAGTAGCAACGTCTTTCGGAGGTTGGTAGGTGTATCGATAGTCGTATGCATGTTGGCTACTCGAAGCCAAACGACTGTCTAGCAATTAAGCAAAGTGCTAGTGCATGCATTAAAAGCCCGCTTCCATACGTTTGCATGTGTAATTGCTTTGCGGCATCCGTTGCAGAAGAGCTTGCTGCAACGTGCGCTGTAACGTGGCTTCTCGACCTTGGCAGCGGGCCATAGGCAATAAAGTCAAAGGCTTGCAATGAGAATGTTTAACAAGTACCTTACCCTTCGTTCATTCTCCAGGCTTCCTGGGCACACCAGCCCAAGGTATGGGGCTGGTGCGGAGCACCATGGCGCAAGTGACGCAAGTCCTGTTGCAAGGCGCTCCCAGACCCAAGTGTTACGAAGAGTCGTTCTGACGCGCTCACCTATTCTGTACACAATTTATGAAAAACCTATTGCCCATCAGTGAGCCCCCGCACGCAAGTGTACATTTTCGAAATTTAGACAGAGCGTGACACTTCTACTTCATCGGAGCTGATAAGCACACAACGCGCCTCTCTCCGCTGCTGATGCCAAGGCTGCTGACAGCAGCGGCTACTGCCAGGATATATCCCTGACGCTCTCTCCGTATTTGTCCGGAGCTGATGGATGCGCCGCAACAGGCCCCGGTGTAACTTTTTTGATGCTTCATGTGCTTTTGTTGTTTGCCTGGTGCTGCACCGTTACTCCTGCAGCATCTCCAGCGCCAGCAGCTCCTCCCGTCGCATCTTTTGCTTATGTTGCTGCTGATTGTTTGTACTCTTGTTGCTGGTCTTATTACTTCTTGGGCTGTCGCTGCAAATGCTGTCTCTGCATCCTCCATTTTCTTCTGCATGACTGATGCGGCAACGAGGGGGAATGAGGGGGCCCCTTTCGCCGGAAAAGCAGCAAGGAGCACTTCCGAAAAACAAATAACAATAAGGAGATGAGGGTAAAGGAAAAGCATTGTTCTGTGACCTCCCAAGTATTTCTTAGCAGCAGGCGAAGCTCTGAGGCATGGACAACCCAGCGCGGCGCAGCAACGGTTTCGTCTATTCAGAGGGAGTATCTGCACACTATGAGCACAGGTAAATTCCCTTCTACCCGAAATTATACAAGCATTACCTAGGAACCAACAGGAAAACAGGTGCAAGCTGCCCTGCCAGACAACCGCCGCAGATGAACCTAAAATAACAAGCCGGCCTACTCTGCTGTAGCCGAGGCCTATCTTCCTTTCCCCTCTGGTACTGGCCTCCCGCTACAGCCGTTCATACCAATTACTGTTGTTGCTGCTGGTGCTGTCGTTGATGATGCAGCTGCTTCCGATTGAAAAACAAAGCGGTGAAGGCCCCCTCGCCGGTTTGTGAGTGGGCCCCTCCCCATGTAAAACTGTAGCTACGGATATTGAACATGGTGCAGATAAAGGGGCGGCTGCTGCTGCTATTGGTGCGGTTGGGGCTGTTGAAAGCATGGCATTGCAGCTGCCTGCGTCTGGCACAGCTCATGGTGGCTCCATTTGCCGCATCCTTCGACTGGAAGCCGCGCCGTTGATGCAGCTGTCCCAACCATGTGAAGTAGCACCAGGAAGACAGCAGCAAAGAAGGCGGAAGGTGCCGGCTATCCAGCAAAATGTGACGGAAACAAAATCAATTTGTGAAAAGGCGCTGAGTTGGGTAGAGGAAGGGGCTATATATCACCACGGAAAAATAGTTGGTGTCACTCATGGACCTGGATCTGGTATGGAGAAGAGGCGTACCGTCATGAATTGCAACGGACTTTGCAGCAACTTCTGCTGCAAGGCGAATCCGCATGCAAGTTTACCCAAGTCTTTTTTTGATGCATGCACTAACACAGTATACATCTCTTAAACACTTACTTGGCCCTCAAGAGCCAGTGTGCACTCCCGTAGACGTGAAAATAGGTGTACCAGCTTCAGAGAGACCACGTAGCATCCGTCAGTGTTTCTCTACCCAAACAGCGCACGCGCTCGTGCTCATGTGCTTCCACCTTGGGATGGGTGCACCGTGGAAGGGAAAGGAGCTTTCGATGTGTCCAGGGTCTCTAATCCTCGATGTTAAAGCACTGACCATATAAACTGGGGGGAAATAACGAGAAAACGGCAAAGGGCATCCACTGGTGCTGCTTATATTTGCTGTTGCTGGTGTTGCGGAGCCGCAAACTCGTCGTGGCAGGCCTGCACTTTGCCGGGTCCACTGCTCACGTACAGCGCCCTGCGCCGTTCTCATCTTTTAGACGCTGCCATTTTTTCGGAACAAAAATACCCTGTGAGCCGTTTCCGACCCTCAGCACCGCTCTAGAATGAATCCCGATCCCCAAGTGTTATTGCTGTCGCTCTCAGTACCGAGCCAGCACTTTGTAAGAGGGGCGTCTCCAGCATTAGGAAAATATTTCGCACCGGAGAGCAGATGGATCAAAAGAGACTTGTCCCTTTTTATACATTGCAGAGCAAATCTTTACACAACTTTTACATGGCCATAATTTATGATTGCCAACGCTTGCAGTCCTCCGCCCTGAGTCGAGTGAGGTACGCAGATGCTCCTGAGTAATTATTTTGCACAACCCATCCACAGAACCCATTCGGGGTCTCGAAAACCTGGCCATGTAACGTAGCATTCTCGTTTGCTATGGCCTCTACAAGTTATAACGTGCCCAGGTTCAATCGGCGTGTTCGCGAGGGTCATATGATTGCCAGTTTTAATAATCACGGTCAATAATCCGGGCCAGAATGCGCTATCAAACTGCTCGCTTCTGTCAGCATTGACGTTTTTCTGGAAAGTGTGAAGTTTCCCGACGTAATAAATGAATAATTGGGTCACTCCCTCCCCTCCAACTGAACTCGAACAGCGAATGAGGTGACAGAACTTGAGGAATTTTCCCCCGACAGTATAAATCCTATCATTGCCTCTGGCCGTTAGTAACCCAACCAAGGAACCCATTCGGATATCCGTACAGATCCATTTCGGGAATAGGATACTCTGCAAATGCCCAGGTTTGAGGGTGTTCGGCAGCTTTTGCTGTTCGGATTCCGGGCAAGCAAGGACGACTTCCTCGACTGACGCGCTCACCGTTGGCCGCTAAGAGAACCTGGCCACCACAGGCACCGTTGCGTTGATCCCACCATGGACCCCTAGAGCATTATCGTGAACTTTGATCAAACCATCTTCACGAAGCGAACCTAAAACATATTATCGGCGTACTCCACACTTTTTCTGTTGCCGCAAGTGATCGCCCGCAGTGGCGTAGTGCTTAACCCTTCTATTGTTCGGTGGAGCAAGAGCTGCAGCCGCGTGGGTAAAAATGGAGCCAGGAGAAAGAAATTTAGAAAGCGAATGGGCCG